ATTTTGGCCCCAGCAAGTTTATTCCAGTTTCTACCTCAATTCCCATTTGTGATGTGAAACTTGAAGCTTTCCTTGCAGAGAACCACACAAACATAACATGGAATGTGCAGTAATTGGAGCTCCATTTGTGCCTCACAAGGAGCCTTGCATGGGAAAGGCAGCAGTAACTGTGGAGCCTTCTCTGAGCTATCACATGTACAGGGCATCCTGTGGTTATGGCAGACAGGGCTGTAAGGAGGCAGGCAGATGATCTTGGGAATTTATGGTGGTTTGGGCTGATGATCTCCAGGGAAGATGCTTTTGTTATTCTCCAAAAGTTTTCCAATTTATGTGAGAACACCCCATTTCCCGCTTTCAGAGCTGTCAGGAGTTTGATGTCTTTGCCTAATTTGTCCAGTGTTTACTGAAATAGGCAGTGCCAACTGAGCTAACAGGATGCAGCTAAAAGCTTAGATTACTCAGAACTGAGAAGAGAAACCAGAGTTGGTTTCTTTTCTCTGGGATCTTTGATTATAACATCATTCTTCCTCACCTCTGACCAGATTCTGTTATATTTGTTCCGGAAGATTTAAGGGGCTTTGGGAAAAAAACCACCTGCCTAATAGGAAGGACTTGGAAGTCCAGATCCTTTGGGTGTGGCCCATACCTCAGAGTCCATATTGAGGAGCTGGTACAGCTTTGCTTGTACTTTCTGGTGACTTGTACTGATGACTCCCTTCTGTCTCCCTTTCAGTGACAGTCTCCTACTCAAAGGGAAGAAATGAAAGAAGCTGAAGATTCCTAGAACCAGCGTCGCTGACCAGCAGAAGATAAGAGTGAGGATCTTTGAACTCCCTCCACTAGTATTGTTTGTCCTCACTATGAAGTTTTTAATCCAGTTGCCAGATTTTGTCCCCATGCCTCTGCTCCATCTGTGGTGACTCAGTTACAGGAATGGGCTCTGCCTCTAGGCAGCTGTAATTCTTTCCTCATCCCACCAGTTAAATTTGGAGAGGGGGCAAAGGGGCTTACTGGTATTAACCCACATGGATATTTGCCTCTAATCTTCCTTAATATTTAGATTTGTGTAGGATATCAAATTATTTTTTGGCCAAGTGAGGGAGTTCTTCTGCCATCAGCACCAGGCTTTTTTTTCTAGTAAATTTTGTTTCTCTTTCACTCTTGATCCCAAGAGAACCTGGGACTGAATTCAGGACAATGCCATTCATTTGGTGCCTGTCACTGCTGGAATATCTTACTTGTGTCACTGTCTGCTCAGTGATGCTTTCAGATATTTGTAAAAATTAAAAAAGAAAAAAAACAACCAGATTTTTGTGTCTAAGTGTGCTTAGTGCATGGGAAAAAAAAAGTGGTTATTTTATGTAGTGGCAGGGGGAACAGAGATTTTATTTGGTTGAAATTAGAATGAGGGTGATGAAGGGAAAGGGAAAGGAACAAAAGAAAGAAATACACTCGTGGTCACTGGCAGATCATCACAGTGTGGGGAGAGAGGAGGGATGTTTGAGTGCTCATAGAGCTGTGTGGGTGACTGGGGCTGGTTCCTTAGGTGCCTGTGAGGGCTGCAGATGAGGGTAGGTTTACCTGCTTTTCCAGGTCACAAAAGTATCTCTATGCTGTGTCCTGGCTCCACTGTCACACCTTGGACTTTTCCTCTGCTTTCCTGGCTGAAAAAGGAGGTGAAATTGTCCTCCACTGACGAAACTCTACTTTGCTTGTGTTTCAACAGCAAGATCTTGTGTTCTTTAGGAGGAGCTGCTTTGCTGTTTCTCTGGGCTGCCCTAAGATTTAGGGCTTTGTGGTTATCACAGCATCATAGAATTTCTGGAGTTGGAAGGAACTCACAAGGCTCAAGTCCGGGGCAATCTAGAAGTTAAACTTTAGGTGAAAGCATTGTTTAAACACATCTTCAACAGAGACAGACTCAGGGTCATGACTGCTCCCCATGGAGCTTGGCCACCCTGTAAATTACCCTTTTTTCTGATATCCAACCTGAACTTCCCCCTGTGCAGCTTTAAGCCATTTCCTGTGTCCTGTTGCTGGACACCAAAGAAAAGAGATCAGCACCCTCCTTCTCTGCCCCTGATGAGGAGGTGTTAGGTCAGCCCTTGGTCTTCTCCAAGCTGAACTAACTTTGCATCCTCAGCTGCTCCTTGTAAGTCACACATTTCCTTGTTGTCTTTGTTGCCCTCCTTTGGACACATTATAATATTTTTATTTCCTCTTTGTATTGTGGAGCATGAAGCTGCACGCAGTGATGGTGAGTGCAGCAGGACCCTCACTTCTCTGGCCAGTTAACTGTTCTGTGCCTAGCACACCCCAGCATAACACACCTGGCAGGGCCTGCCATCACTCAGAATGGCCAGAGTCTTTTCTGCAGGGCTGCACCCCAGTCTCATCCTTCAGTCTGTATTCACATCCAGGATTGCAGCATTCCGTGTGCAGAATCTGGCATTGGTTCTTGTTCCGTTTTGTGTGGATGAAATTGTGTACACGTCTGGCTGTCCAGAGGGATATGGTGACACCATTAAAAGCTTTGCCAAAACCAAGAAAAAACTCCACATCTGCCTTCCCTTTGACTACTAGGTGGGTGGCCTTGTTGTGAAAGGTTATTAAATTTGTAAGGCATGACTTTCCCTTCAAGAACTCGTGTGCATTGTGATCAACCACTGCATTGTCTTTCAAGTCTTTTTCTTGACAGCTTCCAGACTCATTTTCTCCACAGTTTTACCAGGCACCAGAGTGACACTCATTGACCTGTAATTACGAAGATCTTCTTTCTTGCTCTTCTTGAAAACTGGAACATTTGCCAGCCTCTATGTCATTTTACCAGGCACCAGAGTGACACTCATTGACCTGTAATTACCAAGATCTTCTTTCTTGCTCTTTTTGAGTTGGAACATTTGCCAGCCTCCACGTCAACTTATACAGATTCCCAAGGCTGTTGATTAATAACTGAGAGGGGTCTCACAGTTGCATTGGCCGACTCTTCAGTACCCTGGGAGGAATCCCATTGGGCCACATAGACTTAGGTGCATTCACTTGCAGCAGCAAATCCCATATAAGTTCAGTCAGCTGGGAGTTCATCATTCCCCCAGCCATGGCCATCCAGCCCAGGACTCCAGACACCACCAGTGTCAGAGGAAGAAGCCAAGGCAGCATTAAATGTCTCTGCTTCTGTTCGGGGATGAGGTGACCCACCTCATCAAGTGACATACCTTTAGTGTTCCTTCTGCTCTTAACATACTTTAAAATGCCTGGTGTTACCCACCATAGTACTAGCCAGCTTCAACTCGAGCTTGAGCTTTTTTTTCTCCTAGAGTGGCAAGGAGCATGTCTTCCCTCTGCATAATCTGTCCTTTCCCACGTCCATACACTTTCTGCTAAGTTGCAGAAGGAGATCCTTGCTCAGCCAAGCCAGCCCTCAGCTTCACTGGCTATACTTCTGACACATTGTAACTGCTGCTCCTGTGCTCTTCAAAAGAAGCCCCTTAAAAAGTGAGTAGCTTTTATGTACCCCACTATCCTCTAAAGCAGATTCCCAGGGGACCTGACTAACTGCTTCCCTGCAGCCTAAAGTCTGCTCTCCCCAGGTCCAGGGCAGTAGTTTTACTTACAGCTTTTCTCCTACTACCAGGATTTTAAACTCTGCTACTCATGATCACGATGGTCAAGAGCCACACCTGAGACCATGTCTATTTACAGCCAACCATCTCTTTTTACAAACAACTCCATCTTGAGCGCTCCAGGGAAGAAAAGAGGCCTTTGGGGACTTCTTCCTTGGTGAAGCAGAGCACAAGATGTTTAAAGGAACAGATAAAATCTATGGATTCCTGGTTTAAAGCTTCCTGGCAGTCAGAGCTATAAGTATAACCCATGTGTTTTGACTTGCAGTGTCAAGGAAGCACAAACTCTTTGAACCAGCTTTGAAAATGCATTCTCAAATAGTCACCCCAAAGTATTTGTGTGTAACAGATCCTATGTAAAGAAGAGTAGATTGCTTATGACAGCGCTGTATTTCTTGATGTGCAGTCAGGAAGGTTTTTGTTCAGTATAAATTTTTTGTAGACTGGACATTATGGACACATTAAGCTCAGGGATTTGAACACAAATAAGGTTCTCAGTAATCTGAGCTTGTTCCACAAGATGTCTTCATTTTCAAGCTTCAGGTAGAGTTTAAGCTAACCCTTGGTATGCCTTGCTTTAGGCTGTGGCAGCTTTTTAAAAAGGAAGACAATTGGGTCCTGTCCTTTGAATCTACCCAGGAGTTTCAGGCAAAGGTATGTGTTTCCTTAGGCTTGGACTTTAGCCCCTTCCCATTGCTTAAAAGAGGGCATCTGGCATCATGAAACACAGTACATGTCCCTCCACCCATTTTTACTCCTGCCTCCTATTTCCCCCACTGCCTCTTTCCTGTTTCTTCCTCTAGTGGCAATGGAATAGCAAAGCCAGCTGGGAAATGCACACACAGGCCCATGGGATCACAGGCTGAGGGAAGCTGAAGTCCAGCACATGGAAAGAGCATCTGCTCACAAAGTGTCTTCTGCCTTCCAAATGCTTCCAACCAACTTTCTTACCATATCAAATGACAGCAAACAGTGACCTTCATCCCAATGCATTGTGTATAAATCGTGCTGGGAAGGGGGCTCTGGAGGCCTTTGGAGCAGGCTGCTGCTGGAAGTGGCACTGTTACCAGCACGAGGTCAGAGCAGCTGTGGCTTTGTCTGTTCACATATTGAAAACCCACATGTAAAATTTAGATATAAAAGCTGTGTCAGAGTTTGTTACACCTGACTTTCCATGCTCAGACTTTGCTGCTGACTACCAACACTTGAGCTGCACAGCAAGGAGCCACCATAATTGGTCACAGCTTCTGTTCAGAAGTATGTAGCTAATAGAAAATCAGGAAAACTAAGCTGGAGCCATCCTTCTAAGTCTGCAGATCTGCAGGTGAAATCAGGAGTACAGCTAACACTCAGTGAAGAAAACCTTTTGGGACCTGGTAGTCAAACAAACACAAGTTTATTTACAAACAAAGAAGAAAACATGGCCATCACATCAAATTCTGGTATATTTACAGCTTCCAGGTGAAGGATGAGATAGCAAAAGGATAAGAGGGGCAGAAGGTTGGTATTAAAGAAAGGAGGTCTCCTGTTGAATTGCAGAGGAGCTGATCTGAAACAGGCCAAAACCTCCATACTTGAAAAGCTGAAGCTTCAGGGAACACAAACAGGATAAACTTAACTCAGAGATGTAGGGCAGAGATGTAGCTCCTGGATTGACCTTTCTTAGCTCTTCCCTGAGAATTCCACTCAAGCTGACAGAGCAAAGGCGAGTTTGGGCCCCGGTGCTCAGGGAGCAAGGGAAGGAGGGGCGTGACCTTTTCCTGCTAATGGATGAGGAGGGCGCTGGAGAGACTTTGCTCGCCTGCGCAGGCAAGGGACCGTGGAGCCGGTCAGCTGAGCTGGAGAGCGCTCTGGTTCACGGCACTGAAAGCTGGCACGGAACAGAAGGGGAAGGCTTTGTTCCAGTGCAAGAGCAAGGAATGCGAGACAGGCCAGCTGGGATGTGAGCTCCAGTCCTGCAGCCCAGGTTCAAACCCCCATGGGGGTACCTGCAACGTGTGGTTATTTTTTCTTTAGTGAGCCTTTCATCTTCTTCTCTGAGGAGCGTTGTTTCCGCACCTTCTCCTCCTTTTTCCCCAAGTTCTCATACACTGTTGACTCCTCTTTCTGCCTGTAAGACCAGGGAAAAAATGAGGAAGAGGAAAAAGCCAGCCAAGCCAGCAGGCAGACTTGCCAGGGGCAGGCAGAGCTGGGCCTGTGCTGTAGGTGAGCTCTTACTTGGAGGGTTTTCGCGAAACCTTGGCGTGCGCATTCCTCACGGCAGGGGGGTAGGCGATGTTCCCATACTCACACTCGTTTGGCTTGCCTTTCTGAGACTGCAGGAGAGGAAAAACAGGCTTAGAAGAGTGGTCTGGGAGGTGCACTTGAGGCACCATGGGCTGTTAAACCCCACTTTGTGCTAGGATCTCAGTGGAAGCTGGTGGATTGCTGAAGTGCCTGGGCTCAGCGCACTGCCACTGCCAGAGGTGAGCAGCAGGTGCAAACGCAGCCTTGTGCAGGAGGCAACAGTGGGGAAACAAATCTCTGGAGGCACTAGAATGCCCAGAAGTCCCAAATTTCTGCTAAAGAATATAAAAACAGGCAGAGCTATAGCATGTAGCCAGAAGCTACAAGGAAAGAGAAAAGACACCACTTATTAAGTAGCAGGAAAAGATTTTGCAGCTGCAAAATATAAAAACAGGCAGAGCTATAGCATGTAGCCAGAAGCTACAAGGAAAGAGAAAAGACACCACTTATTAAATAGCAGGAAAAGCCAGGATGTGAAAGACAAAGAGGAAAGAAGAGGCAAGGAAAGTCTTTGCTTGACCTAAACTAAGTTTGTAACAAAACAGCACTTGATGATATTATTCAGAACATAGTTCAAGTAACTGTATTAAAATTTAACTGCTGTTTAGCAGTTCAGAAGGGATTGGTACTTGAACCGCTAATGAACTTGTCCCCTGAATTTAATAGTCTTAGAAGAGAGGAACAGGGACACAGATCTTACTGCACTATTGTAGTTTGTGTAGGTCTCAGTGTTAGCTTAAAACCTCTGAAAGAGCACCTGGGCTCAGAGCCAGCAGCATGAAGGGCTTAGTCTCACAGGGCAGTAGAGCCCCTTTTCTCTCACCTGGATAACTTCCAGCTTTTTCTTGGTTGCCTCTATGAACTGGCAGATGGCCATGTAGATGAATTTGTACTGGGCCTCTGTCTGCACCATCCCAGATCGCTGGGCCCTCACCATCTGGATGGTCTTCTGGATGTCAATGTCACAGTCCAGCCCTAGCAAGGAGCACCAGAAAAGTTTATTGACATATTCACTGCCCCCTCGCCCAGTTCTCTACCGAAAGCAGCCACAGTGGAAGACAGGCATGAAGTTTTCACCTCCTTCCATACTCTTTATTGCTGTATGAACCTCCCAGCTCTCCCCCTGCTCAGTATCTTTGAAGTCTGGCCTTGGAGGAAAAGCCAAAGCCCAGGGAAGGCTAAAGCCATAAGTGGATATGGAACAGAGATCCAGCAGAACAACTTAGGGCCATGGCAGGATCTACTCCCACTGACAGCTGATAGTTTTCATCCCTCTGCAGCTGAACTTAAAGGCAAAGCCCTATGGGGTAGTCCAGTTCATGCTGAGATCCTTTGGGGTGCTCTTACCCTTGGTGGAGATTGTTTCCACTATCATATCAATGACGATGATAGTCCCAGTGCGGCCAATCCCAGCACTGCAAGGAGAGGACAAGCAGAGGTCAGAGCAAGACAGCTCCTGAAACAAAATGCAGCTGCTTCTGGGGAAGCATGTGCCTCTTGTAGCAGCTGTTCAGCAATGCCACAAAAGAGTCATGGGTTCAACAGGTAGAAAGTTTGGTGTGGGGGCACTGAAGAAGAAAAAAGCAAATATTGGGACTGGTATTTGCTTCACTCACAAGTCCTGGGGTAGAGCTGGAAGCAGCAGGACAGACTTTCTGCACCTCACCCTAGATAAGGGATGGAGGATGCTTCAAACTCCAGCCTCTGTACCAACCTGCAGTGTACCAGAATAGGCCCTGCGTTGGGGATGCTCTCTTGCTTCTGGTTTATCTGGTCAAGGAAGCTGAGGACTCCTCCCGGCTCACTGGGCACACCATGGTCAGGCCAGCTCAGGTACTGGTATTGCCAGATCTCACGCACAGCCTTGCCCTGAGAAGAGCAAAGCACCCCACTGGTAAAACTGCAACCCAGTCCTGTCCCTGGCCTCTGTCCCAGGGAGAGGTGAGTCTGGAGCCAGAGAGAACCACCAGTGTGATTCCAGCCCAAACCAGGTGGAAAAGCAGCCCCAGGAATGCTAGAACAGCAGCATTGTCACAGCACCCAGCAGTTCCCAGGTGTAGCAGTGTGGGGGCTGGGATGGCAGCCCTTGGTGAGGCACACTCACGTTGTCCTTGGGGCACACGCAGAGGTGCCGGAGTTTGTACTCCAGCGCGTCGTGCTCCCCGGTGTTCTGCACAAGGTAGGGACCGTACTCCTTCGTGCTGCCCAGCTCTGGCCAGTAAGGCACACACTTGTTCTGTGTGGGCAGAGAGGGCAGGGTGAGGACGGGCAGAAGGCAGGAGAGAGAGAAAGCAGAGCAATGGTTGAAAAGGAAGACTGCTACTTACCCGGCCTTTTTCCACCTCCCGTGTTGTCATCACAATAATGCGTGTGTTCTCCTGCCACACCATTTGCCACAAGTCGTTGACTGTGGCATCCAGGCAGCCCTGGCTGGCGATGTAGGTCTTGGTGCACTCATCTGGGCTGATCAGGGTGTTCTGAGTGCAGACAGGGGAGGGTCAGGAGGGCTGCAGGAGCAGCAGACCTTCCCCTGCTTTGGCACTGTTCTGGACAGGCACACAGCTGTCTTTCAAGAATCTCACCTTGACATAGTTGGCATTGATGTAGTCAGATCCAGGTATATTTGGGTCCCTTCCCTGGAGGATGACTCTGGAGTGATCAACTGGGGGTGCAGTGAAGGATGAACAGTGCAATGAGATACTCCATGCACAGCCACACAGAGCTCCCTCCCTACCCTGTGCCACCTCAGTCACGATTCCCAGTAATGCCCCATATCCTCAGCTCTCCCTCTCTGTGTTCAGACCAATCTCACTCTGTCCTCCCATCTCTCTGCCTCTGTGATGGACCACAGAAGCTAATGAGTGATGCAACCCTCCTGATGCCCAGGAAAAGGCTGTGACCTCCCTCATCAGCTCTTAATTCCTCAGTGCCATACACCTTGTACCCTGCTCTGGAGGACAGAGTGGGCTGAGGCAGGGATGGCTTGGACAGCTCTTCATTGCCTGTCTGTCTGCTTGGGTTTATTTTATAGTGGAAAAGCAAGACTCACAGGGCAGTATGTTCTTGTATCGGTTCTTGCTCTTATTTTCAGGTCTCTGGCCCTCATGACGGTCAAACAGGTGCTTGGCTTCCTGTTTTTGCAAGCTCTGAGAGCAGAAGAAAGAATAGTCACGGCAAGGTCACAATGTATGATAGAGAAGGTGGGCACTAGGAGGCACAGTGATGGCTCTGATGACACATGGGCATGCTGTGGGGGAGCAGAAAAGTGAAAACCAAACCTAGACTTGAGAAGCCTGAGGCTTCAGCCCTTACTGTCTTGGTGACTCACTCTCCCAGCCATAAAAAAGCACATTTCTACATCACTCGGTTCACTTAAAGATGAGACTCATTCCCCAGGGGAACCAGTTCCAAACAGACATTTCTTTCAGAAATAAACTGACAAGACACAAGAAATTTGTATACAGGAAGAAATCGAGGATGGAAAATGAGGTGGTGCATGCAGAATTCCCAAGAAGCCAAATAATGTCCCCCAGTAGTTTCTTACATCAAATTCCTCCCAGAATCCAGCCTTGGATGTCTCCTCAGACAGACTTGTCTTCTTGTTCAGTTCCTGCACTCTGTTCTCAATGTCAGCAGCATTCACCCTCGTAGCATAGTAGGGCTGGGGATGGGAAAACACAATAGGTGAGAGAGAGAGAGAGAGATGCTGCTGGAGAGCAAAGTCCTCTGTGCACCATGGAAAAAAGAAGGAAAGGGGCATAAAGGAGAAAAATCCAACAAATCAGTACCTCCAAAGGGCGACTAAAAAACAGGAAACTGGACTTACCTGCTTCAGGTACACAAAGGAACCAGACATCTCCTCAATTCCAATCTTCTTGAAGTGCTCCACCAGATCTGCCAAGCTGTCAAACATCTCAGCCCCTCCAATTGTGTAGCGTCCATTCTAAACAGAGGAAGAATGTGTAATGTCTCACTCATAACGTTCATAACAGAATTCTGGAATAGTTTGGGTTGGAGGGCATCAGAAAGGGCAGCTAATTCCAAACCCTCTGCCATGGGCAGGGACACTTTCCACTAGACTGGGTTGCCCAGAGTCCCCTCCAGCCTGCCTCAAACATTTCCAAGAATGAGGCATGCAGTTTCTCTGACAAACCTGAGCCAGTGCCTCACCAACCTCACAGTATTTTTTTCCTATTATCCCATCTAAACCTGCTCTCTTTCAGTTTGAAGGCATTCCCCCTTGCTCTATCACTCCATGCCCTTGTAAAAAGTCCTCCTCCACCTTTCTCATGAGCCTCCTTTAGGTACTGGAAGGTGCGGTAAGATCTCCCCAGACTCTCCAGGCTGCACAGCCCCCACTCTTTCCACCTGTCCCATAGACAAAGCTTACAACGCTCAGGAAAAAGGCAATGCTGGGGGGCAGATCCACAGGCACCACCCTGCACCATCCAGGAAAGCATTTGCTCTGGCAGGGAGGTCGGAGGAGCTTGCCCCGAGCACATGGAGTTCACGGCTCCGTGCTCTCGCTGTAGTGCTCTCAGTGGATCAAAGCCCAGAGAAGGTGTATTGCCCTCCAATCCCATTTAAGGCCAGTTGCATTCTCTCCTTGGAATCTCATCATCCCATATGAAAGAAACAGGAGAAATTGTCACAGCCATTTTGGTGACATCCATCAGACCACCGCCTCTCGTCCTGCCCTCCCACTGCTCACCTCACACATGATCTTGATGTGTGTGACTTTGAGCCGGGTCCCAGAGGCACCGCTTGCCCCAGCTGGAGCATCAGACCCAGGTTTGGGCTGGTCAGTGAGGACAGACAAGACAAAGTCCCCAGGTTTGCTGAGGCTCTCCCGCACCAAGAAGGTCCAAGGGGTAGCTTTGGCCTGGAGCAGTGACTCGGCTGCAGGGCCTGACAGATGCCCATGGTACCACCTAAGGAAAAACAAGAGAGGGTCAGAAAAGAGGTGGAGATGCAGGAAGTGGATGCCCTTGAGCTGATGAGTGAAGAACAGCAACACTGGGGAAGGGTGAGGGAGGAGGAAAGGAAGGGGGAGACAGAGAGGAAGGAATGAGAGAGGGAAGGAGGAGCAGGATCTTGGGTAAAGCATATGAGATAGAAGGAGGAGAGCTGGGCAGAAGAGGAAAGTGCAAGGGATGAGGTAGAGACAGAAGGGACCTAGGGAGCAGAAGTGGTACCGGAGGACACAGCGGGAAAGCACCAAGTGTGACACACACACAGGCACAGCTTAGTGATAGTTTCTGCCTGGAACACCAGTTGGGAGAGGGTAGTCTGTGTGTTTCAGCACCTCACAGTATTATTGGGACTGTTGCAAGGGGCTCTGGAAACTCAAACACCAGGGAAACAAAAATAAGCCCCCACTGAGTCAGAAACTCTCCCATCAGATTTAGCAGCACCCAGATGGTTGTGTTGAGATCAGATCCATTAAAGAACCATTCCAGCAACTCCTCTTTCTGAAACTCAGTCACCTCTTCACTCAAAAGATAATTCCCATTCTCTAAGCACATCACACTGCAGCAATCACCCTGGCCATGGCAGTGAGCACAAGGAGCTGATCCATCTGCACATTCTTGTCCTCAGTACAAACACTCAGCAGCTCCTTCTCTCCTCCTAGCACAAGGTCAGGAGCATCCCCATTTGACCACGGTGTTCCCTGCCTTGCCATGGGGATGTAGGAATGGATTTACTTCCCATGGAGCAGCTAACAGGGAAGGGCTGGTATGGTAGTGGTGAACTTCACACTGTTAGGGGGCTATTTGTTCCCATGAACTGAGATGGAGTTCAGGAGACCGCAGCCCAGTCACAGAGGCAGCCGGGGCATTTATTCACTCTCCCCTGCAGCTGGTCAGAGCAAGGGGTTGCTCCACGTACAGCAAGAGGTTCACACAGTTATTTGGCTCAGCAAGTCACTTTTGTCGACCCTCACCCCATGCACTGCAAGAAGCAGCTGGTGACTCTCGCTGCAGGGTTGTCATTGATTTCTGAACGTCCTCAGAGAATGGTTCAGCCACCACGTGCTCAGATGCCACCTTGGGATGGGCTGGCCCCTCCTGCCCATCGAAGAGGTCTCCCAGCCTCCCCTCCCCACAGCTAGGAGGGGGTTAATGGGTCCCATTCCTCCCTCCCCCAGCAAAGCCCAGCTCTTCAGAGCCACGTGATGGAAAATCACTTGGGGAGAGAGTGAGAGGAGCTTTCGTAAGAGCCCGAGGGGGGGAGGGGGTAAGTTTCCAACCGCAGGAGGAAGGGAGGAAACTGCGGGGCCACGAAGCAATGGCCTTGACTGGAGAGGACAGCCAGCAGCAGACCTGCCCCTCTGCAGCCTGGCCCCAGAGCAAGCTGGGGGGTACCCTGATGTTTCGGCCCAGGGCATCTCTGCTCCCTGCCTCCAGGTGCCCGAGGCGGACCTGTGCAAGAAGGACTTGTCACCCCAGAGCAGGGCATGACAGCTCCCCCGAGCTGCATCAAAGGGCCTGAAAGCAAAAAGCAAGGGCAAAACCACCTGATTTGATTTAGGAACTTGGTGTCAGAGACACATGCAAAGCGAGGACAGGAAGGAGACTAAGCAGGCCAGGAATAGCAGGGGAACATGGTCCTGCTCGCAGCTACGTGAGTCACTCAGGCCTAGAATAACAAGGAGGTTTGGGGCACAACTGAGGGTTTCCACACAACGTGCCCCTCCACAGACCACTGCAGAGCCACACCGGACACCGCAACCTTTTCTTTCAGAAACAGCATATAAATAGCAAAGGCAACCGGAAACCAGAAGTAAAAATAGATCCCCACTAGGTCTGCTGTGATGGATCAAGGTACACACAGCTATTCCTGGGGATGCTGTCCCCATGGACACAGAGGAGGTTAAGAAAGGCAGGAGGGATTTTTTGAAGGGTTTGCTCTGGGGATGCAGGCAGGACAGAAAAGAGGCCATAAAACATTAATCACAGACGCAGCAGCTCCTTGCTGTGCCTGTACCTCTCTGTTGTGGGGTCAGAACAGTTGAGCGGGTATCGCAAGTCGATGATGGTTCCATCTTTGTCCTGCAGCGAGCCCTGTTGCTGCGTGTAGTACTCCACCAGTTCTGACAAGGTGGCAAACTTCTCCCCTCCATACAGGTCATAGAAATCCCCAGTATTCTGGATGCGGATGTGGGTTACCTGATCACCAACCCTGTGGAATAAAGCATGAGGCAGTCCAATGAGGTGGTTGGAAAAGGGGCAGGAAAGTGTCCTGCACTACCTCCCACCCATGGAACCAGAGCAAACCATCTCCGTGAATGGAGATGACTGGAAAGAGAAGCTCCTTGGGCAGCTTGAAGGAGGCTCTAGAAGACACTGGGAAGCTGAGGTCATTTTACAGTTGAGAAGAACTCAGAGGAATAGAGACACAATGAAGAAGATGCCACAGGACATGTGAGGATCTAGGCAATCTGTGTATGTAACACTGCAAAGACAGAAGCTGGGGTCCAAGTTACTCACCGGACTGAGAGGGAAAAATCCCCCTGATTCCTCCGACTGGGTCTGGCCAGGAAGCTCCCATGGACACCTCGTCCCTTCAGTAAGGCTTCAGCTTCCAGCCCACTCAGGTCACGGTGAAACCACCTAGCAGAGAAAATAAAAGCAAGACCAAGTGAATAACAAAGGCCAGGCACTATTGTGGAGACTTGCAGGGTGAATGGTCCCCAGTCAGCATCCCTAGGTGAAAATCAGCAGCAGCATCCCTTCCTGCCTGATGCCTCCTCCAGCCTATGGACGATTCCCATGACAGATACAGCTTCCAGGGCCACCCCTGCCCTCATCCATCCTACTTCCCTGCTCCCATTCCTTACACACACAGACCTCTCAGACCCTCTTACCTCACCATTGTGGAGGGAGAAAGAAGAGGTGGCCAAGTGGCTGCCACTAAAGCAACCCAAAAAGCACAGAGGAAAAATCAGTTTGCGCTGGAAAGGAAAGGGAAGTCGGAGGTCTGTGCTGAGGCACCCAACGCCAAACTGCTCCTGCGCCTCTTGGGAGCTGGCCATGTATCTCTCCTGCAGTCGACTGTCAGTCCATTCAGACCCTCTCCATCCACATTTTCCTGGGCAGTGCCTGGATCTCTGGCCCGCAGTGCAGTGCTGCTGGGCACGGGCAGGCGCGAGCCCGTACACGGCAGGGCACGCACAGCTCCGGGAACAGGAAGCGCTCTGAGCCATCCACTCCGCAGCCCCAGGCTACTTTGCATACACTTCTGCTTCTCCTTTTGTGTCTTTCCTCCCCATAGCCCCTATTATTTTTGGGTCCCTGTCTTTAGCACAGAAGGGTTGACTCTTCACATGCATCTTGGGTTCTGGCCGTGTTCACAAAATTCAGTTCTGCTCGTCCTCTGTTCCCCTTTTCCTCTAAAAGGCCAACGAGCAACACAAATGGTCCCAAATGTCCCACATGCTCTGTACAGGCACAGGGGGGAATCCGTGTGAATCCAGAGCTGCAGACTTCAAGGTCCAGGCTAGTGCTCTGAGCACAGCAGTGCCTGCCTGAAACCAGCCTGCCATGGGATGGGACTGACACAGGCAGCTCAAAAGGGAAGGAGAGGTTGGGAGAGGGTGGTGAAGCTGCCCAGGAAGGCAGGCAGAGACCAGGACAAACAGCTACTACCTACAGAGAGCCCACACAGCACTGAGGGAGCTGAGCCAAGGACCTTCAAAATGCCAGCACCCCATACTGAGGCCAAAGCTGACAGCCTGGACAACCACGTATAAAGAAGGAAAACCATTCCAGTCACCTAGCTGCTTCCAGCTGTGGCCCATGACTGCCCTGCCCACAACACTGGTTTCAAGGTCTGCAGGTCTGGTGAAAGAATGGGAGCTAAGCCGTGGCCTAAGAGTGCAATCCAGCTGGCAAAGGATCCTGGCTTTTCCCTGGGGCCATCTCAGCTACCCTGTATGCTGTGGGCAGCAGCAACAGCAAGAGCCTTGCTCATTTCAAGCAGCAGCAGCTGCAGACTTCCCCCCACACCACCAGACTGGGAAATCCTGCAAAAAGATGAACAGGCTGCTAGCTAAGACCTAGACAAAAACTCGTGGCCAAGACAGAAACCAGCAACAAAGGGAAGTACAGGAGAGAGGAGTGGGAAGCTAAACTTCATTGCTAGAAAGGCAACCCAGGCACCTACAACAGCTTCCTTAGAAATGCTTCTAGTTTCATGCACATGGTGAGCTGGGGTGCAGTGAGCTGCAGGCAGCCAGAGGTACTGACTTAGAACTGATATTAAAAACCAAGGAGACTTTAAATGCACAGGACCAACTCAAGGGAACAACTTCTGCGCAAAGTTGCAGAAGTTGCACCAGAAAGACAGCACTTAAATCAGTCTAGCAGGAACAGGAAACAAGTTATGCTTATTGCCAAGGGAGAAAAGGCAGGAACTTCCAGGGAGAAGTCCCAAAAAATAATTCCTGATATAAAAAGCATATTAGAGTATGCTGAGTCAACATGAAGCCAAGGCAGATGAAAACCAAAACTTAGGCATCCCTGCACTGAAGGAGAAAATCTGTCTGAGGAACTGAACATTAGCTGGACAGAGGGGAACAGGGAAAGAACACGTTGCAAAGAGCCCAGACCAGAATAAGAAAGGGCAAGAGAGCATTTATCCCACGGAACTCAGTATCCTCCAGAAGGACAAGCCACAGGGTGCAGTGCAATCTCTTGACGGTATTTTTGTGGACAAAAATCCCATATCACATAATTTACAGGATGAGTTTACGCTTCTGCTTGCTTTCATTTTAGGAAAGGAGTGGATGCATGCAGCCGCTCTGGTGCCTTTGATCTGGGCCCTCCAATTAAAAACGACCAGCAAGGGACGGAAATGTCACCACAGAGAAGCCATCAGTCGGTATCTTCAAGGCTGCTCTCCCAAATGGCTGCAGCATGGAACAGCTGAGCCACTAAATATAATTAGGCTATAATGGAGCCACTAAAACACTTTTTTAATATAATTAAGAGGTCAAGAGATTTCAGCAAACTCTTACACTGTTTGGCTTTCAGTACAACACAGGTGTTAGAACCTCATCTTGTAAATCCCTTGCGGAACCAGGCCACAGCTAGCACAGTAACAAATTTACAGCAGAAGATAAATGAAATAGCTAATTAAAAGACACACATCTGGATTGCTGCAAGAAAAAAAAAAAGGCCCTGAGAAACTGGAAAGAATCCAGCATAATGCCACTAATGCAAGTGAAGAGCCTCGAGCATAGCAGAGAGCAAGCTGGGTTTATTCAGCTTGAATAAAAGATGCTTAAGGAGGGATTTAACACTTGTCTGAGACTACCTGAAAGGGGCCGTGGGGGTTTAGAGCTGATAAGTCAGGTTCTTTCTTGTGGGACACAAGAAAAAGACAAGAGGCAACAGGCATCACTCGCAGCAAGGGAAATTCTGATTAGGTATCAGGAAAAACTGCACACGTGCTCCCCCCCAAGGGGGTTCAGCACTTGCCACAGGTCCCCAGAGCAGCTGAGGAACCTCCACCCTGGCAGATGTCAGGACTCACACGAATAAGGCCCTGAGCCACCTAAGCTAGTTTTGGGGCAGCAGGGGTAGGACTAGGCAATCCAGAGGTCAAAATAGTTGTCAAAGGAAGAGCAGAGAGAAAGATTGTGTATAGTTTCTTTTGCCCTTGTGCTTCCTAAGTCTCTATCAGCAGCTACTTGTAGTCAACTGTCAAATGCATAACAAATTTTGTGCCCTTTGGCAAAGAGCTCCATTGCTCAGTTACAGAAATACCCCCTCCTTTGACTCGCTGTATAACCTGCTCCCTGACTCTTTTTAAACACCTGGTTGTTGTAAAGAAAGGAAAATCAGTGGGTGATTCCTGTTTCTCTCCCCTTGCTCCAAGCTGCTCGTGGTAACAGACCTGAAATATCCGTATCCATCCTCAACCCTTTGCCAGGCTGAAGACTCCAGCCCTGCTAAGGGGTTCTTTTTGTACAGAACTATTCTGTACCTCTGGCCACCTTTGCTGTCCCTCTCAGAGGTATTTCTAATTCTGGCATCTTGATTTGGAGATAAGAGTGAAGGTGGGCACAGAACGGTGGTGTTCAAAATGTTGGTGAGTCATGGACAGTGGTGCTTCCCGATGTTCACTACAACCAAGCAGTAAACTAACAACTGCACAGACTTCTATAATCAAGGAGAGGTTACCATTCGTTCACAGCCATTGTTTTATATGCAATTATAAAACTGTATTATTTTTCTGTATGAACATTGTTTTACATAAGCCTTTTCATCTGCTGTTCTACTGCCCACTCATTCACTGCCATTAGGTCTTTCCAAAATTATTCACAAGTTGTCTCCCACCCTATTATCCTGAATAACTTTCTAGCATCATCCAGTTTTCTCACCTCACCAAGCTGTATTCCCAGGTCACTTGGGAATATACTGAACATTGTGTATTTCAGATAAGGTCCCTGTGATCTGACCACTGATGACTTCCCTTTACTGTAAAAATGGGATGTTAATTCCCACCCTCCATTTACTATTCTCTAGTAATTCTTTACTCAAGAAAACCTTAATCTTCTTTTTTAATGCTGTGATTTAACGACTTTGATGAGAAAATCTTGTCAAATTCTTTAAATCCAAACAAACTGCACTGGCCAGACCTGCCTTATCCACAAGCCTGCTAAGTCCCTCAAAACCCTCCAGTTTTACGGGACCATATTTGCCTTTACAAAAGCACATGCTGGCGCTTTCCTTAGTATCACATTCCTTGCTTTTCCCATTACACTGTGCACCCTCTTGCTCAGATAACAACTTTATTGTTCCATGCTTTCCTCACATTTGGGGGGAGTTAATTTGGAGCCCTTTTTGAGAATGAGCATTGCATTTTTTAATCTTCTTCTTCTAAACCTCAGCATGGAGATGATTTTGGACAGGAGGTTTTGCTGTTCTGTACCAAAAGTCTGTTGTAGTTCAGTCATCAGTGCAGAGCAAAGGCTGCCTGGTGATGGGCAGATGGACCATCTTCCTGTGACTTGCCAAAGCCACATGCTCTCCAGCAGGCCTTGGGGCTCCAGCACAGTGCTGGACCACTGTGGTTGCCCAAATTCTTACCAGAGAGTAATGCCAGTGCAAATCCCATTTCCTGACACCCTTCCAGAGCAGGGTACCTGTTTGGACTGACTGTGAGGATTGTATGTCCCGCTTTTTGTTCCATAAAGGGCTAGAAAGACTGCATCCAATAAAGGAATAACCAGAATTTAAAAGGCCAGGCAGCTGACATCTCTCTCTGCAAAACCATTCAGAGATGCTGCAGCGTCAGGGTGGCAGAGGAACTGCAGCAGACTGGGCATCACAAACCCTGCTTGCTTGTTATCAAAGTGAGGAGGAGCAACAGCAACCATGTAAAGCACAGTGAGCTCCAGTCCTCTGGCTACCTTTAATAGGCAGCTCCTATTAAAAAGTGGGGGTTTTTTTCCTTCTGTGCCTGATTCCTACTGCTGGTATTTTTATTTTTTCTCACCAACAGCTCTTGTTTTCTTGCCCTAACTAGCATTCACAGCACTCACCCACAGGATGGCATCAGGGTCTTGTCTCTCAGATCCCCACTGATGGAGGACTGACAGGAGCTGGTGGAGGAAGTACCACAGCCCTCAACCAAGGGGGTCCCACTAAAGAAAATAAAGCAATATTGCAATTACCAAGAAAGGATCTTGAAACGGATTTGGGGGAGAGATCAGAGACCTTGGTAGAGGAGAGGTGGCCGGGCACCCCGGCGGCAGGGCTGGATGCTCATGGCAGTGAGTGCCGGGCGCTGGAGCAGCTCTGGCAGCGCCTGCCGTGACTCACCTGAGCCCGATGCGCACAGGCGAACCCCGAACCCCGCCTGCTCCCGGGCGGGCTGAGGAGGAGACAGCTCCAGGTCAGGCAAACCTCGGGCCGCAAGCCGCGGGCTTAATTTTCACCATTTGCAAAGCACTTCCTGGACTGTAGTTAATGAATAATCAAAGGGGTGGGGGAAGGCCAAGGCCAGGCTCGGAGAGGTGGATGGAGACGGAAGGGACCGAGTGCTCTTCCTGCCTCCCATGCCCGGAGCTCACGCCCTCGCTGGCTGCATTCCTGCCCGCTTTGTAACTCCGAGCGCAGAGCGCCCCGCACACCTGGCTTGCAGCTCCCTGCTCCACCAGGCCTGCCTCCTTCCCTCTCAGCCCTTTCCCCCTCCCTTCTGTCGCCAAAGACCTCAATTCTTCCTATGGCAACAGGGACAGAGGGCAGGAGGCTACAGACAGACATACCTGATGTCCCTCTGAATGACACGGGAAAGAAAACATTGCAAAGGAGCACGGCTGCGCCACTAGGATGATCCCTCCGCAGTCCAAAAAAAAGAGGTGAGATAAAAATTTTATGTTGTTTATGTTGTTCTAGTCCAGGCTGCAGGCAGCCCTCCCACGCTCGGCCGCTCCCTGCTGCTTTTTTCACTAAGGATAAAGTGCTGGATTGCACATTCAGCCACAAAACAAGGCAGCCACAGGCACTGGGGGCAGCAGTAAATTAGCACCGATCCTGCTGGGACAGGGGCCTCAGTGGCATCTACAACACTTGCTGAACAGCACTGGATCGTGTTGAGGGACACATTTCCTGGTATGCTTCAAACAGCACGCCTGAAAATGCTTGCCCTTGTAAAGTGCTTAATGCCTGTCTCTGTGATAGCAGATCCTAGGGCTTCACACCGAGGCTCTGCACAAGCCTTTTGCAGAACATGGTGCGTGGTGGGCCTCCCAAAAGAGCGTCGCAAGTACATCATGCTGTACCTGCCTGTGCGCCAGGGAGCAGCGCTGCTGAGCTCACGGCCATTCACGAACACGGGCACTTTCAACACACGTTTTATTCACGAGCAGACACAAAGCATCCCATTCCTTCCAGGACCGCGTCTCCCTTGTCCAAGTGCCCCGTTCCCAGGGCTGACAGGACCTTGGGAGGAGGGCACCGGGAGAACTCCGCGGGCTCAGGAGGCAGCAACTCCGCCGGTGCCGGCGCCGTGCGGCGGCAGCGTCATGGGCGGCAGGAACATGGCCTTGAGCTTGCCGGACATGCTGGCGATCTCCGGGTCCTGCGACTCGTACGACTTGATCAGCCGGGCGAACTTGAGGACGCCTGCAAGGAAAGGGGGTGGGCGGGACGCCCGGCGGGCCCGGAGCATCGCGCCCGGCCCCGGGGAACAACCCACCTTCGCCGTCGCTGCTGAACCCGTAGGCCTTGATCACGTCCTGCTGGATCTGGGTGGCCACGGGCAGCAGGAACTGCAGCATCTTGCCCATGTCGTTGCAGGCGTTGTCCCGAGCCTCCTCCATGCGCTGCGCGTTCTCGGGCGCCCCGAACGCCTTGATCACCTCCGCCAGCACGGCTGCGGGACACGGGCACTCAGCCGCCCGCCGGACCCCGCATCCTCCAGCGGCGCCACACGGGCACTCGCCCGCACTCACCCTTCGCCTGCTCCGCGCTCAGCGCCGGCGGCACCGAGGGCTGCGCGGAGGCCCCGGCGCGCCTGCGCCGCCCCGCCCCGCTCTGCCATTGCACCGGCCTGTGGGAGCGGCTTCCCGCGAGCGCGGGAAACCTGCTGGACAAATTCTAAAAGAGCTGAAATCACTGCCGGGAACAGCGCCGCGGCGGGGAGCCCCTCCGGGCCGATGCACCCCGAGGTGAGGGTGAGAGCCGCTTTTCTCTCGGGCGGCCTCCTCCGTGAGTGCCCGGCCCGGTGCCGCCCACCCGGCGCTCTCCAGGCCGGTACCTGCGGCTCCGCGGCCGCCGAACCGGCCCGGCAGAGCCAGTTGGGCCGTATGCAAATTCCTCGCTTCTCATTGGTCCGCGGCGCGCACGCCCCGCCCCTCCTGCCCAGCGGCTCCCCCGCGCCTTTCCCGAGGCGGTGCCCACTTCCAGCCTCTCCCACTTTTCACTTTTCTGCCCTTCCCCTCCTGGCCCCACTGAAAAGAAATGAACACACCAGAGTCCCGTTTCTGAAAGGGTTTTTTTGTCTTTTTTTTTTCCTTTTTTAAGAGCTTCATATATATATTTATATATATAAATTATTAGAATGTGTGTCAGGGCTTGGGAGTGCGTGGGGATCATCATTTGGGTGGTTGGTTTTTTTTTTTTCTTTTCCATAGCTGGGTTTGTTGGTTGTTTTTTCCTTTAATGGTTAAGTAAATATATATATATATGGGGGACCAATCGAGAGATACAACTGTGAAATCAGAACACGCACGCAGGGGCAAGGGAGTCACAAGTTGCTACATAAAACTGCCACGTCTAATAGGATGTGCATGAGTTAAAGTACATCAATTAGGATGGGTGAGGGGAAAGGGGCAGCCACCATCTTACAGACAGTCCCAGGACGCAGTGTTACCGCTCGGCCACGCCAGCTCTCCCCGCGGGGCTCAGAGGGCTCACGGTGCTGATGGCAGCCTCCAAAACAGTCTGCTGGTGCTTTGCACCTCCCGGCCGTGCCCGTTCCCATCAGCTGGGGAAAGCACAGCCACCGTCCTGCAAACAGTCCTGCGGTGCTTTGCACCCCGATGGCTGGGAGCGGACCCTCCCGGGAAGGGACCTGGAACGCTTTGTTTGCATCTGAAGGGATGTTGGGAGAATGGGAAGCTGCTCTGGCTAATCTGAAAAAGTTCCACGTTGCTTTTCTGTATCGCTAAGCAGTATCTTACACTTAAAGGGGGGGTGGGGTGTTGAGGAGGCATCTTGAAAAAAGGCTCTTTTGTGTCTGCAGTTATTTCTTGGCTGCACCTCCTCCTTGCAGAAGCAGAAAAGGCAGGAGCATCCTGTACACGAAGTCCTGCAATGCCCTGCGCTTTTTATTTTATGCAACTGTTCCTCCAAAACAAAGGATGGAGCTCCTGCCACCCTGAATTCATGTCAGTCTTTGTCTTTCTGAGCTCTGTGCAATGCTGATTCTCTTCTCTTCAGAGCTCAGCTGAAATCATGTACCAATCGCTTCAGGTCCATTAGCGGTGTTACAGTCCCTCCCCATTTTCTCTCCTCCACTTTTCCCAGGATGCCATCCCATACTTTTTGTCATCTTCTCTTGTACTCTACTGCATGGTGGGATCAGGATGTGTCACTTTGCAGCTTCCCCTCCCCCGGATTTGGTTGATTGATTGCTCCTCTTGAGAGAAAGACATGATGATGTCACACTGACAGTAGAAGTCCATTTAAAGGGGTTTGTCACTTTCCTTCTTCAGGTGGCTAGGATAAAAAAGAGGAAAAATGCAATAGTGAAAGGGAAAAAGGCAATTTACACTGCTCCCCTGCCTTTGTTCATCTGGACCCACACAACACTGCTGGCTTAGGAGGTTTTGTAGATCCTTGAAGTAGGAGGCACTATAGAAAAGGTACAACATTCCACTTCTCTCTTTCCCAGTGTACCTCCCCATGCACTTGTGAATTCCTTATCTTGGCAAAACCATCAAACCTTAAAAATGTTTTGTATTTTGGCAGGGGTATCAGTTAGTCATAACTGCACTAACATGTGTGAAACACACAGAAGTTACCTCCCCCCTCAGAGAGGAGGAGCTGAGATCTCACAAGGGATTAGCCACTCAGCAGCCACTTGCCAAGCACGACCTTCCTGGTGGCCAGCCACAGCGTGCCCCACAGCAAAGCATCCCTGTTCCCGTGTGGGCTTGGCCACAGGCACCCGCTCCAGGGGCAATGCTTCCCTGCTCCCACTGCCTGTGCCAGCCCCACGCCAGGGCTGGGCCTGGAGGTGTTCTGGTGAGGAGAGAGCAGCTGCACGCACCTGTAGTAGTCCTCCTGCGTGGGCAGCGGCACGCCGTGCAGAGGGTGGTGGGCGTGGAGCCACTGCTGCTGCTCCAGAGCCAGGCGCTGCAGCTCAGCCGACTGCGCGTGCATGGCCTGCAGCTGGTGCGCCGCCGACATGGGCGCCGACAGGGAGCCGGGCAGGTCCCTGTAGGGTGTGGCTGCAGACAAAGGTGACACAGAGAAGGGACGAGTTAACGCTCCATCCAAGGCCCCAGAGCTCAGCCAAGAGCCTGCTGCACCCCCATTCCCATCCCTGAATTCCCGTCCCCACATGCTCATCCTGACAGCGTGGGCCTGTCCTGCGCTCTGCTTAACAGACCTCAGGTGGTCCTGTGAGAGCCCAGGACACCCCTGCCCCCTGGAACTCTGCTGATGCCCTTTGGAGGAGAACTGCAGCCCCTTACCAAAGAGCTGGTGGCGCAGCACTTCATTCTCATGTAGAGGGTGAGGCAGGAGAGGGTTGGGGATGGTTCCAGCCGGGTATGGTATCCGGGTGAGGTGTGATCCCGAGGCGAGGGGGTCGATTAGAGGGTGAACGGAGGCTGAGGCTGGGAAGAAAAGATGCCACAAGATAATTGTCCAGGGCTTTGTAGCAGGTAACACAGAGACAGGCACAAGGCCTCACAAAACAGATATGGAGAGAGGGTCAGAGTGTGTTAGGGATGGGATGATTTCACAGCTAAACAACAGAGTGTCATCTCCTTCCGAGTGTTAACTCCTTGTGCCTGCATCGAACTTCATGTGAACCTGTCTGGCAGAGCTCTATCCCTACACTCCTCAGGACGAAATAATGCTCCTTAGAAGTACACCTCCCTAAAAGTTCAGTAGGGTTCTGCAAGGACCTGCTCTGCAATCAGGTCTGCACCCCATGTCATGCCCATCTGTCACCCTGACAGCCATTCATGTGCATACTTGTGCTGGGCGCTTTCTTTTCCAGGTCCCATCCAGGACAGATTCTCTTTCTAGTGGTTTGGACTCCCAGCCAGAGTAAGGTGCCCAGCCATGGATGGTAGGGAAAATGGACATTCACTTGTACCTCATGCCATCTCTGAGCAGTTGCAGCTGCTCAGAGCCAGCGTCTGTGACTGACACCAGACCCCACTGACCGCTCACAGCACCTGAACAGGCACAGCACTTTTTCCTATTGCACTGTAGCCTGGGCTTTGTTTCCCTGAGATTTTCATTCCTAAACGTTTTACTTTGCTTTCTTGCACAATGTGGAAATGGAAGGGTCCACCATTCAATTCTGAAAAACAGCAGCCTCCAGTTCCTTATGATTAGCCCACCTCCACCCCACGATGTGCAGCCACTGAGAACCAGCATTTCATTAGTCCTAAGGACACTGCCAAAACTGTTCTAGCACGGTTCCTGCTCCCTCTGCAGACTCCAGTCTAAGGAATGCAGTTCACAGCAGCACCACCCAGGCAGTCAGTGGGACTCCAGCACTTGTACTGTGGCCCCACAGATCCAGAACAAAAGGACACAGTGCAAACAATTTTGCTGGCCACTGATCAGCAGTGTCAGTGCCTTTGGTGGGATGGGAGTGGGGAAAAGGAGAATGAGTATGATGTTGGGCTCTTCTGGTTGAAGATCTATGGCCTCAAAGTTTAATCTTGTCAGCTTTTAGGGTCCCCCAGGGCTGCAGGGAAGGAGTGCAAAGAAGGCACGGTAGGACAGTAGGACAGAAGTCAGGGCTTTGTGCAGGGCACCACCACCATGCGGCCCTTACCTGCGTGTATGGCATCCTGCTGGTGGAGATGGAGGTGGGAGTGGATGTGGGAATGCTGATGATGATGAGGTGTCACATTGAGCATCTGCAGCCGGGCCAGAGGGTCATTGCTGAGAGCGGCCACCCGCTCGGCATGCTGGCGTTCAGCCGCCAAGCGCTCGGCGTAGGACATGTC